CATGTGAACTTCAGTGCCGTTTAGGGCATTGCAGTCATGGCCCCATTTCTGTTTACATTTACAGAGGAAATTAATCATTTTCTGTAACCAAACCCTAATTTTTTAGCGCAATAAAGAGGCAACAAAGAAAAGCATGGGTTGGGGCACACAGGGTGTTCAGTGCCCCCAGCAAGAATGAGAACTCTTTCTCTCCTCTCCTTCAGCTCCAGGTGGTCTTGCAGCCACACAAAAGCACTGGGTTTGGGTCTGAAAAAATGTAAATGCACAAAAGAGCTGAATATTTGTCAAGATTAGACCAGATCAGAATTACATCTAGAGGTTATTGCTTAACCTGCTCTAATGCCTTGTGGAGCTTGTTTTTGAGAGCCAGTGGTGGTGGGGAGATGCCAGGAGCAGAGCTGGGGAGCTGGGGAGGACATCTTACAGGCTCCCAGAGAAGTGAGAGCCACCCCAGGGCACTGTGCTGACAACTGCACAGCAGCAGCCGCCTCCAAGCTGTTTTCTACTCACTGACTGCACTAGCAGTTTACCGCCTCCAAGCTGTTTTCTACTCACTGCACTAGCAGTTTGTGAAGTCCTGGTGCTGCTGCATCTCTTGCCTTTCCTTTGTCTTCCTTCTCTGTCAGTGACCTTTCCGTAGGACAGAAAACACTTGCACAAGTCAGGCCCATTCAGCACTGTGGGGTCTGGACATCTGTGAAGTCTGAGATCTAGTGGGTAGCTGTTGGGGATGCAGGGGCTGGACTCACAGCTGAGGAAGCTTGAGGGTCACAGTGCTGAGAGGTGCAATTCCGGGATGCAGTTTCTCCCTGGCTGTGATGCTCTTAAGAGGGGCTCACACCTTTTGACACTCCTGATTTTGGAGCTCAGTGGACTCCCCTGGGTGGGAAGGAATTCCCACCACATGGTTGCCAGATGCAGGTGGGAGGAGATGTGCAGTTTTCTCTCGCCATGGTCCCTTCCCATCCAGGGACCTTGGTGCAAGCTGCTCTCCGGAGTGATGGGCAGTAAAATATTCTCCCTCACATCAAAGGAGTCATCAGTGAGTAGCCAAGTTGAGTTCTCACTTATGTTTTAGATTACAGTGAAAGTCATTAGGCCAGTGCCCAAAAGGCAGTTATTTTTGTCACTTGAGGGTGAGAGGTTTGTTTCTGGGGACAAGGCCACCCTTGATAAACATTGAACAAGGGTCTGGATAACTCCAGAGATGAACAAATAGGTTTGCTTTTCCTGTTATCAGAAAACAAAAGAAAACAAAAAAAGCCAGAAACCAGTAGCTTGAATCTGTGAGTCTAAATTAAATCATTACACAGCTTAAAAGACTAAAAATATATGTGTGTGTGTGTGCACATGTGCATTGTATGTGTGTTTATGTAGATATGTATATCTTATCTCTCTGTATGGAGAGGGGAGCCAACCTAACTCATACTCTTTAACAGTTTACTCGAATATTCTTTATTATACTTTGATAAGTGTTATAATTCTGTGAGAATGAAAAGCAATCAGAAATCTACTTTGCACAAGCCAACCGATCTTTTTTTTTCCCCCACTGGAAAATGTAAGCAAAATGGCATGGACTTTTGGCAATAGAATGTCCAGATAAATATGCCAGATTCCTTGCAAATGGCTTTATTAAAAATAGTCACATTGCTGCTAAAAAACTGTTATTAAATGGAATAGAAACTATTGTGTTAATATATTCACAGTATATAATTTATTCTCTAAGTGTAAGTAAAAGGAAAGGCTATTTTCTTTGAATTTTTCCTATGCTGATATTGTAAACTATATGACAGATGGGTCAAGTCCTGATTGCAGTATTCTAACATTTGGAATAGCAAGTAACATATTTGATAGAGCTGGCAAGTTTTTATATATGATTCAACCCAGAATATAAAAGCCACTAGAATTCCAAGTTGAAAATAATTAAATGAGCTGGAAACGATCAGGAACCACACATTTTTAAGTGACAGATTTTTTTACATGTTTAAATTGCACAAGAATATTTTATAGCTCCCTTTAACCAACAGTGACGTTTAATTCTAAAATGTGTAATTGATATTTGCAAAGCAATTAAATCCTGTAGCTCATTATTCTATTGCTAAATGTACCTAAGCATTGGGGCGCTGGCTTAAAGTCATCTTTTTTAGTTCACCTTTTCTGAATTCCAGAGTTTTCACTGAATTGACCTTTTTGAGTTTCCTCACATGGCTGCATGAAGGAGTTTCTTACTTGCATTGAATTTTTAGCTTTGTGATTGCACAGTACTGTAGGATGTTCAAATCTGCTGACTTCTAGAATGTGTTGTCAAATGGTGTCATTACTGTGTAATATTTCAAGTACCGATAAGCAAAAATCCAGGAGCTTATTCCATTTGTATTTGATCATTTCTGCTTATGTTCCTTTTCAAAGTTTCCATCTTTTTGTCACTGTTTATGAAGTCGTTTGTCTCTTTACTTTTGGTGTCTCTCTCCATCATGCCCAAGCAGCCCGTCCGTCCAAGCCTAAGCCACCGGCTGGGCCAACATCATCTCCTCAAACGCAGACTAACATGATAAATCATATGCTTAAAGGCATGGCCAAACAGCCACCAAGTACTGTAATAGTCTTCCTTCCTTTTATTCAGTGGTTTTCTAGTCTAGCAGTTGCTTGTGTAGCAGTAGAAAGCTAGTTCTCACGTGCAGCTTTATCCAAAATACCTAGTGCGATGTGGTAGGTTTTAGAGACTTAGAGGTAGCATTTATTTCAAAATGTCCACATTTTTTTGTCTAGCAATGTCTGACATATGCAACATTTTCAAATATCAACGTCAGCACAAAATAACATTGTTGTTGCATAACATTTTGCATGAAAACTATAAATATGTATGAGCTTTACATGATGTTGGATGAAATGTTTGATAAGTATATCGTATACGTTTCATGTAACTGTCAGTGCTCCAGCTATCTTAGCAGAATATTCTGATGTATAGTAACTTAACCAGGGAAATATTTAAAATAAGAAGAAAAAAAATTAAGATTGACATCTGCTGGCTGCCAAAGTTGTATAAGCATCAATATTTTCTTTAAAGACAGCATCTCTGAGCAGTTGTTCTTATTAACACTTTTGTCTTTTAGTTGTATTTGATAGCAGATCAGTGTTGCAAATGAGAATGGGCCTGATGCTGCTCTGATCAATGGAAAAGCTTCCCCTTGGCTTCAGAGGTGCAGAAACAGACAGAGCTTAGTGAGGGACCTGTCTTTAGACTCCTTTTGAAAAAGGAAGAGGTTTCTACTTCTTGTGGCCAGTGAGGTGCTGGACTGATAGGAGGAAGAATGAGGAGTTAACCAGCAGTTCTCCAATTTCAATGTTTGTCAAAAAAATACATTAAGAGGGACCTGGATTTTTTTTTTGTTTCCAGTGATGCAAGAAACAAAAGGAACACTAGAGAAGAAACCCCCAAGGCCCCCATCCGTGGGATAAACCAGCAAAAATGCAGAGTTCATTGTCATGGTGCTTTACGATGTTGTATCTCTCAGCCAAGCCGAGCAACTGCAAAAACTTACACTGACCAGGTTGCTGAGCTCCTCTGAAAACCAGCCCGTGTACCCTCATTTGACCACTCAAATGTGACCATTCTGGAAAAACAGCTTTCCTTTTTTTGTGGGAAAGTTGTTGCCTATAAACAGGTATTCAGGGAAAACTGGGAGCAGGCAAGATTTTGAGGAGGAGATTTAAGTCCTCAGTGCTCACTGAGCCTTCAGCAAGCAGGGACTTGTCCCCGGGTGACTCTGTAGACCAGAGTAGCTATTTGGGTTTGGATACTTCACCCGTTTACCAATTCTCCAGATTTGATGTGATGGAGATATCAAAGTACACGTTGGTGGAGATGTCTGAACTGGCCGGTGTCGCTGCCAAAGTGCAATGCCATTCTTTGCCCTAGCTGCACGAGAGAGCTGGGCTTGGCACCTGGTTCTTAGCTGCAGGGACACATCTGTAGGTGATGTGCTGTAGCATAGGTGGATGTCCAGGGAGTAGGTCTCCTGCTCCACTTCTCCTTGGGGTGACCATCGCAGGGAGATTTTGCAGACCTCAGGGAAGTGAGCCGCGGTGCCAGCTTGAGAAACCCCCTCGGCTGCACTCAGCCAGCTCTGCAGAAGCTGTCCTTCAATGAAAATGTGATTATTTCCTTTTTCTCTACATTATTTCTAGTGAAATACTTCGAATGTTCCAGATTGTTAGCACCTCAGATGTTTAATATGTTACTAATAATATGAATTACCTAAAAGAATATGATTTATTTTTTAAAACCTTCTGAAAATGCTGCAAAATAGCTCAACATAGCTAAGCACCAAGCTCCAGGATTTAAACTCTTTGGTTTGTTTGCGGGGTTTTTGCTGTAAAGTTGCATCTCTTTTCTCATGTCAATCTTACCTATGACCACCTAGTGTGGGATTTACCACTTTCCACTCCCTCCAGCATGCGTAACTCCTTGACCTTTGTGGAGTTAAATCCTGGAGCAAGGCAGACCTGCAATGTTTGCTTTCAGTAGCAGGTGACATTTAAATTGCTTGAGTCTGACAATTTATTAAAAGTACAGACAGATTTGTTTGAATTGATCTTCTCAAAAGAATTTTAAAAGAATATAGGCATGATTTCTATAATAGTATCATCTGCATTGAAGGATACATATTGCTCGTGTATTAGTGGCCAGATGCTGTCTTTAAGGAATGCGATGTTCTTGTTGGAGCTAATAAAGTGCCACCATCTCACCATAAAGCAAAACAACTCTGACAGTATTGTGAAATTTGGAGCTGGAGCACTGTATTTTCATAGTATAATAACGAATGTGGCTTTCTGGTTTGCTCAGACTAATTATATAAGCATTTAACATATGCATGAAAAGATCTTTAAAGCTGTAGAATATTACGGGATTTTTTTTTTTTTTTAAACCTCTAAAATAACTTACTGTACATCTAGCTTTGCATTCTGCCTCCCTTTTAATTCGAGTTCTTGTACTACAGAAAATGTAGGCCGGTTAGTCACACCAGCTAAAAAGTTAGAAGATACAATACGTCTGGCAGAACTGGTAATTGAAGTCCTACAGCAGAACGAAGAACACCACGCGGAGGTGAGCAGCGGTGCCCCACGGGGTCGTGTCCCCCAGCTCCTCAGCAGGCTCCCGTGGCTTGCTGCACGCTTTGTATATTTATGTGATGTCTTCCCAGCTGCTGCTGGGTTATCTTCTTTGAAAGCTCAAAGTATTCTCAATTAACAGTGCTCGAGTGCGACGAAGGCAAAGTACAGTCCAGGAAGATTGCTTTTGCAGAGGGGAGGGAGGGCGAAAGGAGGAATTAATTAAGTTCTGCTCTCCTCTATGTCAGTCTGCAGCCTGTCATACAGCGCCAGTAGGAGCCCAATCTGGCCAGATATATTCACCACCAACTACATACAAGAGCAAGGCTGTCCACTTTTCAGAAAGGTCGTGTTTCCAAATAATGCCATGTGTTTGTGCCTCCAGACAGCACCAGTGGGGTCCCTGTGGCAGCTTTCTGCTCTTGCTATCCAGAGCTGGTGCAAGGAAAACCACCACAAAACAAAGCGGTTCTTTTTTTTGTCCCTTTCTGAGCGTTCAGGTTGTTTCCAGGGGTTTCTCTGGGCCCTATTAACTCACTTGGTTTCTTGTTGGCCTCTTCTGCCTTGGTTTATTGGGAATACCTGGCAATTAATGGTCATGGAGGTTAGAATTAATTATTCTCTGTTACTCGTTGTTTGGGTTAGCTAAAGACTAATACAACTACTATTAACCCTTCAAAGCACCTTAACAAAAAGATTCATGCTTTAAAACCACTGAAACCATGTCATAGTCAAATGCAGACCAGGAAATGATGAGGCTTGATCCTGGAAACACTTGACCCCACACACAGGCAGCTGACTTGGCTGGCTGTAGTCCCACTCAGCACATCGGGACGTTTCTGCCCAAGCAAGGGACGTTGCATACCCGTGTAAGTATTTGCAGGATTGAGCCCTCTGCTCTCTATAAATCTGGTGCTCGTGGATACGTATTGAAAAGTTAACCATTTTGAAATTCAGAGTGAACAGTTACTGTTTATGACTGTTGGTAATGTAACACTCACTCACTATTTTCTCTTTTCCTTCCCATTGATAGCTATATAGATACTCACTATATTTTGCATTAAGAGCATTTGATAAATAATTTCACGATCACCTAAAAATCATTCCAGTGTATATTAAATCTGCAGTATAATTTAACTTCTGATAATACACAACAATCCACAACACCCAACTAATGCCTGATTGCATATTTAAATTTCCTCCCTGTTTTTCTACTGTTCATTCAATCTTGGATGATCCTGGCAGGGGAAAGAGGTATGTGACTAAACCGAATGAAACGAGTCACTCCTGTCATATTCCGTGCATGCCCTCTCAGTGCCATGTCTCCTACTGGGATTTGACCCGGGTTGCCCTCGCTTCCGTAACTTTGACCGAGGAATGTAACAGCAACTTCGAGTCGGCCGCTTGCAGAGCTGGCAGCCTGACACAGGAGGGTAAATGTGGCATAGCAGCCTGGTCCATGCATGTAGCAATGGGTATATTTTACGAGCGCTGCAGTTACATCCCAACACAACCCTACCTGCCTGGACTCTCTCCTCAGCCTGTTGTTACCTCTGTCGTTTTGCATTCACCCAACCTCTAGTACACTGTGGTGGAGGTGGACTGAGTACTACACAAGTGCCTAGAATGGTAGTGGTCTTCCTCTGGTTTTGTCTGTATGTGCCTTGTACTGGATATACAGTATTTATATGTAGAGAGAGAATATACGAGGTGAAGAGGGAAATGAACTTGGTTTTTACAAAAGCGAGGAGGTGCCCGAGAGCGCTGCGCTTCCACTCCACCTGGGATAACCCTCCCGAGGAAAACGAGTGTTTCATTCCCCTCAGCACCAGCAGGGGCTGGGTGTACAACCAGATGGGAAGGAGCTGCTTTTAAAGCGCAGGTCATTTTGAAAACGGGAGGCTTCTGAAGGAAACGGGTACAGGGCTTGTTGCGTTCAGCCAGCCACGCTGCTGAGATCCTCACCAGGAGGAAGACTCAAAACTGTTCTCCAGTATCTTTTGTGTCACAGGGTTTTGATTAGAGACAGAAGGTTAGTGCCAGCATGGATAGGAGGCATCCCGATCCCTTGTTCTGAGTGCTGACCTGGAAGGGTGAAACTCATCTCTCCCCAGCAGCCCGGCGCACTCCCGGTGCATCATCGAGTCCCTGTCCTGAGGGTGGCTGTGGCATTTCAGCAGCGTGCAGGCAGTTGGCCAGCTCTCTGCACACTTTGAATTGCACCCAAAGGAAGAGATGGAAGAGGCTGGGTGGTTTTTTACTGACTTTTATTATGCACTGTAGCCACATGGTGCTCTTGCTGTGCAATGAGGAATTGCTGAGGTGTTGCGCTCTGGTTTTTCTTCAAATTATTCCAGTGAGGGTTTTTTTGACATGTTGCTTATTGGTCTGGAGAAGGTTTGACCTGTGAGATGCGACTCTTTGGTCTACTTTGGATGTTCAGCATGAAGTTAAATTGCACCACTTACTGAAGAAGCACCTTAATTTATGAAAAAAACCACAGTTTTAGCAAGTAAAACATATCCCTTTTTTCCTCACATGGACATCCCAGGCAGACTCGCTAATGAGGACCCAGAAAATACTCAGAGCATGGAAAATATTAAAAAAACCAGCAGAAGTACCACATGTAGTCAGTTGGGTTTGTCGTACCCGTCAGAGAGAGGCAAACCAGCACAGGCAGGAGTACAGCAGAAACCGTGTGCCTGCGTCTGTAGTCTGTGAGAGCGGCAGGTCTCTGTCATTGTGTCATCTCCCATCAGATGTCTTCCAGCTCCCTTCCCCTTCCTCTGGATGACTGATGACAAATGCCAGAGATGATGGCATTCACCTATTTTAAAATTTATGTTTTCTCTCTCTATGTATACGTATGTGTATATGTATATATGTATTTTAACTCCTTGAGGACATACATATATACATGTGTATCCATGTGTAAAATAGACAATAATAGGTGTGTTTGGCTAGAAAGCACACTCTTTTTTTCCCTTCACATTGTGTTTTAAGCAAAGCAGGTAAGTAGATGGTACATAAATTAAATGTTACCATCTTGATGGAGTTTTTCAGAGTATGGTGTTACTGGTCCCCCTGCAGGAAGGTCCTGCTCACCGAGACTAGGGAGGAGGAGGTTGAGGTTCCTGGTATAAGTTAGAGACCTATGGAGCTAAAATTTGACTTTTCCAGCAAAAGGGAAACTGTAACTGGCTTGGGCATATTTTTGTTTCCACAAATTATCACATGCTTTTATTCATAATCTCTCTTAAAACTAGCTTTTTTTTCCCCCTTTTTCATAGAAGCAGGTTTTTACTGCAGAACTCTGAAGTGTTTGTGTTGAGATTTCTTGCAGAAGATATCCTTTGGCCCTCCCTCTTTTCCCTCTCCTCAAAATGCCAGTTGTTGGTGGTGCTTCACAGTGATCACTCATCGCCACAGACCTGTGGGCAGTATCTGATGGGGAGACAGCGTGGCAGGCTCTTGGCAGGCAGAGGCACAGCCAGAGAAACCACATCAGTGTGAGGGCAGCCCTGGCATTCTCCTTGAAAAACACAAAGGAGTACCAGTAATTTTAAGAGGACCTCTGCAGCCCTATGGCTCAGCATCTGCTTGTTTCCCACCTGCACCTGGGGAGAAGGTTTGAGCAGACACTGGGAGCAGACCTGGATCTTGATGTTCTCAGTTCCTGTCTGGTTTTGCAGCAGTTTGACACCTCCTGATGTGGCCCTCTGAGGTGTGCTGCTGTGTGCTCGGTTGGACACCAGCACCAGATGTGGGAAGAAGAGCTACAGAGCACTGCCACGTGTGCTCAGCGCTCTGGGCTCCCTCGACTCAGTTTTGGCTTTTCTAGAACAGCTACTCTGCAAATACCCAGGGCCACCATCACCAGTGCCCCTGAGCTTTCCAAGCACCCCAGGGCAGACCTTGCTGCAGCAGTGCCCAGCGGCTCCTCCACGTCTGTGGGGCTGGGGACAGTTTGGAGATGAAGGAACCCATTGTAGACACCTTGTTCCCATGCCGTGTCCACAAGGACACTGGTGTTGCTGCTCTGGGCGTGGTGTTTGCCCAGCCTGCTCCCTCACAGCACAGCCCACCTCATCCACACCTTCACCCCTGTGGCAGGGTGGACCCAACACTAAAACTAGATGGGAGTTATTTGGTTATTTTGGTTATTTTTGGTCTTGGATGTGCACTGGGTGTATAACACCCTGTGCCAAGTCTACCCTATCCATGCCTTCACACCAGTTTTATATCAACTCATGGAAGAATAGCAGTGCAAAGTCAATCTACTTTATATTTTGGGGGAAGAAAGGAGTGGAAATAGTCCCAAACCCCCCTGCCAATATCACTGGCAGCTGAGAAGTCAGGTCACTGGAGTTGTGCTCTGCACATCAGTGCAGTTCTTCACCAGCGAACCAAAACCGAACCCTGAGAAAGTGAAAGGCCATTCTGCTTATGCATATCTGCTAAAATCTGCAAAAAATACCCCTCCCTGACTGGCAATTCCTCTTTGAACTGATTCCTCTGTTCCCAGTCTTGCCTGTTTCATCTCCAGTCTTGTGCCTATGCTGGAGGTTTCTTTCTTTTGCTGTCCTGGGGTCGGCTGTGTGGTGCTTTGTTACCGCTGGGGTTAAGCCATGATCCTTGCAAAGTGCTGGAAAGCTGTTTCTTAGATCTTTGAAGTCCATGAGTAATTTCCTATCACTTCAAAATGACAGCACATGGTCCTAACGACAGCACTTCTCATATTGCATGTTCCCAGCCAGAAGTGATTACTAAACACGCATGCATGCGTCTGCAGCATTCACATCTGAGCCATGTACGATGTGAATGTCACGGCAGAGAGCCCGTGCAGTGGAGTTTAAGGACCCATGTGCATGAGAATGAGTTACTTCACTGATATTTTTTGGTTTTCAAGTTTAGATACATTTTTTTCCTGCCTCTGTGAAAATCTAGGCTTGCCGTAGATATTTTGTTTTTCTCTTGGCATGTTGATGATAGAGCTTCGTAGTCGGTTTCCTAATCCGTAGCGTTATGAAGGTGGTAGTGTGTATAGCTAACCATGTAAAATGAACAGTGCTGTAATAACTTTTACTGGTGATGCTTGAAATATCTCTAAAGTAGAGTGTGTGATTTAGGACAGATTTTAATGTCTTAGGCTTCTGGTTTTCCAAGACAAATAGAAGTAGTGAATTCAAATAACATTAAACTGTTGAAAAACACAGCAGAAAACCCACAAGCACAGTGAAGGAACTCCCAAATTTTTGTTCTCTAGAGTAAGAATTAGTTTATTTCCTCTGATAATTAGCATTATTAAAGATGAGTGAAGTCATTTATTGTAAATTGAACAGACAAAACCTCTGCCATGTCACAGCCAAGTGCCTTTACGGTGGAGCTCTGAAAAGATCCTTTACAGGAAACCTTTGTATGAAAATAGTGCCTAATTCCTGTGATCAGCACTCTGTGCAGGCTAGCACTTGAAAGCACTGTTCTCTTTACAATAAAGGTAGTTTCCATGGGATGCACTTTTTTTTTGTTTGTTTTTGAGATATGTGGCCTAACATCTTTCTCTGTGCTTTATTAGAACTAACACGCTTCTTTTGTTGTCTTTTTCTACCAACTCTGAAGGCCTTTGCTTGGTGGTCAGACTTAATGGTTGAGCACGCGGAGACCTTCCTGTCACTGTTTGCAGTGGATATGGATGCTGCGCTAGAGGTGCAACCCCCAGACACCTGGGACAGCTTTCCACTCTTTCAGCTCCTAAACGATTCCCTCCGTAGTGACTGTATGTATTGTATTTTGATCATGTCTTTTTCAATGGGCAGCTCAGGTTACTGATAATACTTTCAACCTCTCCATACTGCACAGAGAACTGAGATGGGTAGAGATTTACAGTACATACTCTTAGCATCAGCTTTATTTTGTTCCATTTCCACTAGAAAAAAAAAAGCACAAAGACACCCCCTAAATCAAATGCCTCAGTCGAAGGTGAGAAGTTGAACTTTTATTTTGCTTCATCTTCTCAAGTCGCTTGGTAATGGCTGCCTGATAAGCAGGGAATTAGATACTCTATCTCACTGTCATTGAGTGTGTGTATTGTTTTATATGTGTGTTCTGCATTTATTTAACATGGAGTAAACCAGTCCCTGATTTAAAGGATTTTACTGAAGGGAAGAAAATACTGAAGTAAATGGAAGCAGTAGTTCAGAAGAATAGTGCTCTGTGAAATAAGGCTCTTGTGCAAAGTATATGAGCCCATGCCTTCAAAATCCAAGAAGATCTGGCACTCTCCTGGGTGGTCCAGCCACTCCCCAGGGAGCTGGTGGCAGAATCGACATTGCCTTCAGCAAGGTCCCAGACCAGCCCCAGATAGCTTTCAAAGACCAGGTGAAAAAGCCAGGGAGTCATCCACAGGAAGCAATTTCCAGCATCATGGGAGTGAGCAACCAAAGAAGAGATTATTGTCCTTTCTGCTAAAGCCATATTTTTGCCATGCTGTATGACATCCATTTTATTCACAGGAAGTAATAATGTATTTGTAAGTTTGACATTAATGGGAAAGAAGATTCGTTGTCTGTTTTTTGTTTGGAGTAAGAAGCCATTGCTCCTGTCTTTGTTGTGAATATTGGTGCCTGATGCCAGCTCCTGTTATGTTCTTGAAGTTTCTTCCTGTTCACTGACAAATTCATTGTGTAATGAAGTGCCACGCTGTGGTTTGTTAAAGAGCTTTCAGTAACAGTAGTGTCTTACTATACTTTTATTTATCTATTCTAGATAATTTGTGCAATGGAAAATTCCACAAACACCTCCAAGACCTGTTTGCTCCACTTGTTGTTAGATATGTCGATCTGATGGAGTCCTCAATTGCACAGTCAATTCACAGGGGCTTTGAGCGGGAGTCATGGGAGCCAGTAAAGTAAGGAAACCTCCTTTGATACAATCGCAATTTGGGTGCAAATGGATGGAGAGTCATACAGAGATGAATTAGCAAACATTAGACTGGACATGCAGAACGTGCATTAGATTTTTCTAGTTTAATGCTGAAAATAGAAGGCCTGACCTCTTCAGGGCTTTCAAGTTAATGAGGGAAATGGTATCTGCTTTTTGAAATGCATTGCTGCCTCAGTTTGAACCGTGTGCCTTTGGACATGGAAGCGTGAAAATGTGAAAAACTTCTTAGCTGGCATGGCTTTTTGGATCGCGTTCTAAAAGGCCTTTTCCAATGCTGCTTTTGAACTCAAATAGCTCCTTTTCAGAACAGAAAACCTTGCTTCGCTGTGTTCAGTCCAGCCCTATAACCTGTGTGAGTCATTTCTGTACTTACTCTTGCCAATACTCATTTTTTCCACCCATCCCATGGAGGGGTGGTGCAGCGTTGTGCTTCTAGCGTCAGCCCCACAGCTGATGGCTGCACGTCTGCCCGTGTCCCAGGGCAGCTCTGCCGGGTCCCTTGCCTGCAGGATTAGGCATGAAACACTGTTTCACAAGCAGAATCAGTTACTCCATTTGCGACTAGGAATTTACCAGCAAGAGATGAGTAGCTTGAGAGAAACCCAGATTGAACTCAAGAGCTGGTGAATGATAAAGATGGGGCATGTGCTTTGGGTTACTGTTGTTGTTTCACAGGTTTTGAAGCATTGCTGAACCCTGTCATGCTTGCACTAAAAAGCCAAGTCAGATCCTACAAAGGAGAAGAGCTGACTTTTCCTTCTAATCAAAATATTACAAGAGAAAGATCAACCCCTTGCAAACAGCAAGTCTGACACTGCCTCAGAGAGGGGACTGGGAGCAGGTGACCTCTGAAGAGACTATTTTCCCTGCTTTTTTGTGATTCTCTAGGCAAAGTTCAGTAGTACAGCACTCTCAGAGGTTGCTGTATAAAAGAACGTGTGGTCTTTCAGGGCTTTTCACACCAAATATGTTCCATTTACAAGGCAAAGAGATTTTGTTCGGCAGCCAGCCTCCCATATGCAACCTGGAGTCTGAGTACCCAGGTTTTTTTCCTTTCTTTCTTGTGCATCTTCAGCATCCGTAAGGATTCTGCCTGCCAAATCTCAGGCCTTTTCTTGACACCTGATCATCCCCTCTGTTTTGAGTGGGGTTAAGTGGCTGGCATTCAGGAGCCTCTCTCACTTTGCATTTGCTGTCTTTGGTCTGCAGGCTAACAGGATTAAAAATCCTAAAAAATCTTGTTTCAAATAAGCAGATGTGACCCAGAAAACATACAAGAAATAGATCTTTCGAGTAGGAGAATGCCATTTTTACAGCCACTCCTTCAAGCAGAATTGCACTTCGAAGTTAACATGAACTTTCATTTCAGAGCTCTGCTTTAGTAATGAATGTTTGTATTTCCCTGTCTGTTATGAAACAGAGGCAGTTAGCTCTGTGTACCTGTCTGCCCCAGTCAGGTAGTTAATAAGCAATGCATTCTGCTTTTTTATTTTGTCAGAATCTGACATCATTTTGGCTTTTAATGACTATAGTGACTTAACTATAGATGTCCTTATTTGGCTGTGGTACTTGCCTGTCAAAATGCTTTGTCCCTGGATAAGCCATTATCTATCATTTTCAGGTTATCTTTGATAGTTACAAAAGATCTTTCCTTAGTTCAGTTGTAATGGTTATTCCCTTCTGGAGTTCCAGTTACAAAGTGCTCTGAGCATTGCAGTTTCAAGCAAAAGCCCAGGATGGACTGTCTGTCTTACAGACTCAGGTATTTAAAAGATTTCTTCCACCAGGAAAGTGGGTGCTTTTCACAAGGAGCTTGTGTCCTTCTGGTGAAAAGATGCACTCTGGGTTTGTTTTTTTTTTTCACTAGTCGGTGTTTTTTTTCTTGTGTCTCACACACAAAAGTGCAAGCTGCAAGTGCTGACGTAGTGCAATGTGACCTGGTGAGCGAAGGCACCAGCAAATGCACAGAGGGTGGCACATACAGTGTAAGGAAAAGGGGTGTCATTCCTGGGATCTTGTGACACTTCTGGTGTGCTATTCAGAACTCAGTGTTAAGGCATCTTCATCTTTTGCCTGCTGGGCAGACCACCTGCTCCTCTCTGATCGACAGTGAACTTGGAAAAGAACTCAGGTCAGAGACTTACTTTGCTTTATTTGCTCTCCTCTATCTACTGCCTTCTCCCCTCATCGTGTCCATCCTGCAGCACAGTTCAGTTTTTGACCGTTGATTCTCAGATAATTTACACCAGCAAATTCCCACCCAAGTCATGGCCTTCCATTGCTGCCTCTACAGCAGAGCTTTTTGGGAACTGGGAACACTGCAGTATGTTTTTCCATGGCTTTCCTCTGCTTTGAAGAAAGGCCTTCAGGTGGGCCAGAAAAGGTGTATCATTGTGGCTGTCCATTCCACTGAGCTTACTGTTGTCCTGCTTTGGATCTCTACAGGAAATTGTGAGAAGGAAATCTTATTACCTCCTGTTAACCAAGAAATTATTCCACAATATAGAGTCTTTTGAAAGGGTTTCTATATACTTGTGCTTGCAATCAAGGCTGAAATACGTAGCCCTCCATAACCTGACCAGATGGCAGTTTGCAAGCATGTATTTCTTCTATTTTCATTGCTGAATACTCTGCACCTTATGCTATGAGGAGTTAGGTATAGAAATCACAAACAGTGAGAGAGATACTGTTAAGTATTGAAAACGTGGGGGGGGAAAGCATCGATGTAATGTGCTCATGAGGGCTGTGTAATCTGCCTCTGCAGAGCTGCTGAATTTGCAGGGGGTCCGTGCCCTATAGCTAGAGCAGCTGGTGTGCTTGTATGAATCCACGCAGAGAAATGTGGAACACTTGTCCTTCGCACAGTCATCCAAATACGGAGGATACAGAGTAGGTCTGTTCTCTGGTGAGTTGAGAGGTCTTGGAAAAGTAGGGTTTGCAATGGGTATTTTTTTTCATGCTAGCTTCTTGGAGAATGCTGATTTATCTTGCAGCCAGCAGACACGTACGTGTGTGTGTGTGTGTGTCTCTCTCTCTCTGTGTCTGTGTTGAAAGAGCTCTTGAAGCAAATGCTAAAGCCGGTGCAATGACAACCAATTTCAATCACTTGACTGGGACGTTACTCACTGACCTATGGCTGTCTCTACCACACTGTACTCCTGGCTTTGGCATCTATTAATTGCTCACTAACCCTTTGCAAATTATTTATAAATGTGTCATTAATATAAATGTAAAAACTTAAACAGTGTGATTTTACTAATTATTTGATGAGGTTGTACTACTACAACATGCTAGTGAAAAATGTTTCCCCTTAAAAGAAGCACTGTTGTACTGAAAATGAGTATTTTTGTTACTATTCTGAGTGTCAGTCAGAGAAGAGCACAGATTTGACTGCCTACTTCACTATCAAGCTCTTTGCTTCACATCAAGGCTTTTGTGAAAAGGTTTGCTCTTCAGCATTTGCTCAGCCTAGGCAGTAAGGTAGCAAGTGTTTGTAGTGATGGAAGAGACAGGCGTTTGCATCTTTCATCACTAAATCATTTCAAGCATCCCATAGGACCTGAGAATTTAAGTATGGGCAAGGGTTTAGCTCTATTCTGAAGCCAGGAGACAACTCAGTAAAAGTATTGTGATTTTTCTGCCCTCCTTTCGGCACTAGGGCAGCTCTACAGGAGCAGCCTCTGTGCAATTGGACTTGTTTTCTGTGACCGGTGCTACAGTACAGTGTGAGCCTTGGGATGTGTCCAGGGGTATGTTGCCAGTCTGCTTGCACTGAGAATTTCCCAGCAGACAGTACAGGTAAAAGCCATTTACAGAGCTACCAGACACAAAGGAGGGTGAATTGAAAGAAGCCAAGAAAACAAGCAGCACAGCTCCAGAGTGTGCATCTTTTATCAAACGTATCAAGATCCAGTCCTGAAGCTGAGTCGTCTGAAATCAGACAGCCCTCATCTTGTTGATGCAAATGCCCCCATTCCCTGCCTGATGGCTGAGGTTATATTTAGCCCTCTGTATTAAATAGGCATGGCTGGCTTCTAGAAACAGTTTCTCATCTTGGACCTCTAGTTTTATGGTCTGAGCAACTGCAGACTGGAACATTTGTTGGTAATATTAATCATTTTTTACAGGTCTCACTGCAACTGTTAGTCAGATAATTAGATCGGTTGAACCTGCAAAACTGTGCATGTCAGTTCAGGAGAATATTTTTTAAATTAGTTACTGTATGTTAACATAATATACACCGTTATTTTGCTGTTTTGTTTTAAGAGTACTAACTTATTCTTGCAACATATCCTTGCATCAGCAAAATAATGTGTTGTATAAAAGAAATATGTTTCCGTGTGAATATACTATACTGTTTACTCTAAAAGTCATATTTTATTAATACAGTGTTTTTATTAATATAACACTGTCACTTCTTGAATTTTAATATTAAAACCAAAGGTCCTCTGATTTATGTATTTACCATCTGGCTAAGTTATTTAAGTTGCTTTTCCTTATACATTTATATGTTGTCCACCTCTTGCTATTTCTTTATTTATTCCATATCAGTATCTAACCACATACGCTGCCATTTCTGAAGATTTAACACTCTCTCAATCACTGTGGAGTCTGTGTCTCATTCAATAATCATGTCATCTTAAGAGCAGATACAGTATGAATGGAAACAATGGGCAGCTTTGTTACATTAGTGAATTCTTGTATTTGCTTACTGCCTAACAAAGAGAACAAGCAGATAGCATGAAGTCAGACCTACTGAGAATCATAGAAGCAAAGGAAAGCAAAAACTTTTTTTTTTTTTCACTAGAAAAAGTCTTTGGATCGCAATTTTCCTTCCCAACGAGATTTTATTCACAAAGGGAGAATGATGATAAAGTCCCTAAGACCTGCCACCGATGACAAGCTGAGCTTCAAACACAAAGATGTGTTTGAAATCTTCTGTTGTGTTAGGAAACATTTATTCAGTATAGCCAGCTCAATTCCATTCCTGTGGCTTTTGTTATATAAAACATGCAGTAAGAAATGGAGTTCAAAATATGACTCAAGTAAGTTGCTAAGTTTTAACATCCCCTGAAAGGCATACTATATAATTTGATAGTTTTCCAAGAGTCCGGATAATGCTGCCTGTAGAGTAACTAATTTAATCCAGGGGAATGGGAGAAACTTCCTAAGGTGGCGTGTCCTGGTGCAGTTACTGAGAGCTGGGAAGTTTGGACGTTGAAGCTGTGCCCATGCACATCAAGAGAAGAGCTTTCAGTAGCTTCAGCAGTGCAGGTTGAAGCTGAAATCCCAAAGGCCTGATTCCATTTTCACTGAACCCAAATAATGATCTAGCGAAAACAGTGTCAAAACATCTGGTTTTGTTTCTCAAATGGGACTGTAAGAACATCTATGAATTTTGTCCCAGTGCCATTGAGAATTGCTAGATTAAGGCAGAAACAAGATATACTTCTGAAACTGGCTTCTGATTCTCAAATCCCATGACATTTTTATTTTGCACAAAACTTAACTGTGATGAGATACTCCTTAAAACAGAATTAGACCAACTAAAACATCTTGAGACCTAGCACAGTAAAATAAGTCAGGTGTTTTGCAAACTTAGGCCATGTGGTGCCGTTACAGTATGCATTGTTCCAGGAGAGGAGGTTGCATTAAATTAATACACTGGCCCACTTTGAAAAGATCTCTATTGGCGTAACAGTTGCATGTCTGAAAATATTTATTGAAAGCACAGCGCCCAAGTACACACACTTGATAAATTAACTCCATGGCCTGATTCCAGCCAGGAAACGTTGATACACCAGTACTGGATTTATTAAGTGCAGTTCATGCAAGTTCACATGTAGAGCTGGGCAACCTGTGGGACCCGTTTGCTCTACACTCGAGTGCAAGGGCAGGATCAGGGCATGAATCTTCACTGAGAAAGAACCTTGTGGTTCACCATTTCATTGCTCCAGATTAGCACATCTTCATTATTTGCAGTGTACAAAATACAGAGAGGCTTTGGAGTGAAATCCTGACTCCTGAATTAGGTGGCAAGCAAAACTCATACAGACTTCTAAAGGGCTGTAATGACAAACTCTGTTTATTATTTTGAATCCCTTTTCTCTAATAGATCTCTTAGTTCAGCTCTTTTATCCAATCTAACTAACGTTCAAACTCTATGCTCTAGTGTGAGAACTGAGGCTCCCTTCCTTACAAGAGATTTTTCCGAGGAAGGGATGTTCTTTGTGATTTGAAATGGTGCTAAGGACTCAGAGGTCGAGTTATTTTCTGTGGGCATTTGAGTACTCTGTTAATTTGCTACTTTGTGATTCTTCTTTTCATTCTGTCTTTTTTTTAAGTAACTCGCTTTTTATTGCAGACTGCAAGCCCAGTACACTTAAGCTTCCATACTCATGCTTCTTTCTGAAATGTTTTGCTTTAGTTTTTTAACTGTCCTCGTGCTGTGAACTTTGCAGATTTGTTTATGAGTGTCACGTGCTTCTGCTACATCTGCATTGTCACTGTTATGGTATTTTTTCTTTCTGTCTGTTTCTTCCACAGGAGTTTAACAAGTAATCTGCCCAATGTGAATCTACCAAATGTGAATCTCCCTAAAGTACCAAATCTACCAGTTAACATCCCACTAGGCATCCCACAAATGCCTAGCTTTTCTGCACCGTCATGGATGGCTGCTATTTATGATTCTGAGTGTGTATTCAGTTCAAATTAGATCTCATTTAAATTTAAAGTAATCTTGGCATGGATATGTATTGTTTGTTTCTGCGCATTATATAAAACTTTAAAGAGTGATACAGTTAATGAGATGTTTTCTGAATGAGACACTAGTGAATTTCTGGCATGTGTATTTTGAGGGTTTTTTTGTATCAATCTTGAAAACTTGTCTTACTCCCACTGAGAGTTTGAGCAAGTATCTTGCTTTACAAAATAGCTGGCAACAATGGGACAGGGTCTGAACAACATACAAACCACAGAACTTACAGTGCAACATTATGTGTCTCAGCAGAGAGTTTTGTCCAAAAAAGAAGACAAACCAATTTCAATGCCAGTCAACCGATTTCTGTGGACCAGATGTAGATCTAAAAGTGAATTTTGTATAACGCAAGATCTGCATTTCCCAGATAATTTTTGTCTTGATTTTGACTGAACAGTTTAACACAGAGGAGCACCCTGCAACAGTCCTTATTCATGTTGGAGGATGTCCCAGAGAGCAATTAAAGCTCCACAGCCACCGTTACAACCTGAATAATGCCATGACTAACTAAAGAAAGATATTTTCAATGTGAGCTTTAGGTTATAGCCTGGAAGATCAGGCACAGTGTCAAAGCAGTTGTTCTATAGGAGCCTCATGCTCTGTGATCCCAGCTCCCTGTCTGAGCACCCCAGGGTGCATGGGTGGAGCTCAGGGGGACATGCCACTGAGTCTGAGCACAGATGAGGCAAGTTCTCTTCTTATAGCAGATTTCCCTTAAAAGTCCTTGCCACCAAGCAGTGTGGAGGGTGGTATACAGGAGCTGAGATCTTGCCAGTTCTCCTTCTAAATTCCTAGAGGATTATTTAAGGTTGGCATGGGGTGGTCTCAGCCAGCACTGCACAGTTGTGTTGCTTTTTCCTCTACTTTCTCACTAAAAGATAAAACTGAAGAAACCCCCTAAAACTACCTCCTTCACTGTTACTGAAGCACATTCGATTACATCTACACCTGGAGTCCACCAAAATGCCTCTGCCACTTGCCTCACACAGGCTGTATTGCAGAGCAGTGGCAATGAATCAAAGTAAAGCAAACACTGATGTTTGATTTCTTAATAGATTTTTAAAACTGTTTAAATATTAGCATGGTCATTTATGTTTCAAAGCTATACAACTCATATTCATGCTAAGATAGCTATATTAAAGGCTAGCTTAGGCAGTTGTCTGTAAAGAGTAATTGAAAGTTTTAACCTTTCTCTATGCATGCTTTGTGGTATTGCTTGTGAAAAGATAAGAATCATGTCATGACAGAAAATTGGATAATTCCTCTGAAAATACTTGAGCATCAATGGTATACTGCAAGCTGCCTGTGTGATTACAGTAATTGTGGTGCTCACAAGCAAAGTACTAACAGAGCATCTTGGAAATTAATATACTATATCGTTTACTTGCGTGGAGCCCTGATCAAAAGTGAGAAAAAGACCAAGAATAATACTTCTAAAATTTTGCAACCAAATGGATGTCATAATGTCGCTGTAGTAAATACCAATTATTGTATCTGTACGTGTTTAATTATATAAACCATTAATTCATGCGGTTCCAAAACTGGGTTTAGACAGTTAAAGCTTATTTATGTGCAAGCACAGGTTTGAACCAGGCCCAGCTCAAAACTGTCGGTAGGTGAACACTTGAGACTGCTGCACAAACTGATTCCCTGGCTAAAGGAAATGCCTGATTCTTTATCTTTTCATCTCCCTGGTTTCCTTTTACTCACCCTTCCCCTCCATCAAGGACATGTTACCTGTTGCCTAGTGTCAGATATGTTTCTCCTACAACCGAGACGATCCATTCTTTATCTCGTTGAGCCTGTTAGCACAGGACCCCTCAGGACCCCTCTAGCATGTTGGGACCACGGTTCTCCCCTGGCCGTAGCCGTGTGTGCATTAGCCCAAATCTCCTCTAGCATTAACTCAATGCGGCTGGCATCTGTCACAATAGAAACACCCTCCCTCACCTGTTTCTATAGATGATGTCAGCACAAGTGGTAATGCATGGTGTGTGAAACATCCAAAGTACCGTGTTAGCATTAGTGGTATGCGAGGAGGGGGTTGAAACTCTTGAAGCTCCCTTGGTAATTGTTCTGAAAAAAAAAACAGTGAGGGCGAAGGAGAGAGGAAGAGAAAAGGGTTACGGATGCACAAATTTCCCTGCACAAACAGAGTGCAATCCAGTTCTGTATTTTTATTCTCTAAGCGGAGGTTTGAGATATAATTATACTGTGAAAAGAGCCGGTGGAGCTACACACTGCAGGACCAAAGACTTCCATCTGGGCAGGGGTCTGGGTACGAGAACATACGCTTGGGAGAGAAATTGAGAGTTTTGTCACAGACCAAAGACGTTGCAAAAGGATTCTTTTTCTTTTTAAATGGAAATCTGTTGTCCTATAGATGCCTTTGCAAGAGGCAGATCTGTGAAAAGGTGCAGTGGTCAGTCCTACCAAAACTCCTGGATATGAGATGTGTAGTGCCCCTAGCTCAATTGATTTACCCTGATTTTTTTTCAGCTGTTCAAGAGATAAAGTGTGTCCTCGCTCACCACTTGTTAGCACTGTCCCTTACCTGGAAACGGGGCCTCACTGGGGGGGACAAGGCAAACTCAAGGTATAATTCGGAGGGGGGAGAATTGCATGAAACCCAAAATCTTAATAACTGCATACAGTCTAGTATGGCAGTTATTACTGATCGAGGATTTTCTGCCACGATTTCTAGCCTTAATTCTTAATAATCACCTACATTAATGTGGTTATTAACTAAGGCTGATTTTTACCATACACACATTCTTCCTGTTAATATGTGTAAATCATAATGTTGTCTTACTCATCTGGTCTGGAAAGTTTTGTGAGCTATGACAGCAAGGTAGATTAGGCAACTGTATGGTAAAACTCAAAATCCTGATGATGGAGATTGCCAGCATTGTCCTGTGTATGAAACTACTGTCTGCTCTACACTTGTTGCAGGGATGGTCTCCACATCAGGTTACAAAAAGCCTGATGCCACTTCTGACTTTTGTTCTTGTTTTGCCCTGCCAGCAATGGATCAGGCACCTCAGAAGATCTGTTCTGGAAACTCGATGCCCTGCAGACCTTCATTCGGGATTTGCATTGGCCTGAGGAGGAGTTTGGAAAACACTTAGAGCAACGCTTGAAGCTTATGGCGAGTGACATGATCGAGTCCTGCGTGAAAAGGTACGTGCCCAGGGGAGAACTGGTCACGTTTCTCATAGGAGCTCACAGGATGCAATCATTTTTTTCTGTCTTATTGTCAATGAAGCTTCACTTCAACCACCATTTATTAGTGATGCCAGCTCACCTCTGCTCAGCACAGACATGGTGGAAAGCCACGGTCTTGCTGTGAATTGTGGACTTTCCCAAGCAGGCACTTCTTTGTTGAGACTCTGGAGGGTGCATATTAAAAATAAGGCAATAAATCACCTGTATAGGCAGTCACTTATTTCCAGTGATGCAAGTGAGGTCAAGTCTTTGTAAGTGGAGTTTGATGTCGGTGGGGTTGAGTGCTGGAGGCATAGACCCCAAAAAGATCCATCACCCACCTAAAAAACACAGATCCATTGAAAAAAAAAAAAAGCACAAAAAGTGATCCCAAAAATAGGATAGTGTGGAGCTTGGCACACAGGTTTCACATCTGCTGCAAATTGAGAAAAGCTGTTGTATCATCAGCCACATTATAGGCTATTCACCTGAAGATCTTCCAAAACAGAGAGATTTCCTTAAAAAACTTTTAGATATACAGGCCAGCTGTCATTTTGGAAGTAAAATGTTGAGGTTAAATTTCCAGCCTTTCCACAATAATTTATGTCTGTTTGGCCTCAAAGGTGATGAGGCAGGATGAAGAAACGAATTTTGCATTCCATTGTGCAGAAATTAAAAGACAAAGAGACAAACCAAAGGAAAAATGGTTGCCAAATACAGCCGGTACATGCTAATATTAGCTGCAATGTGTGATGTGGCTGTTCTGTACCACAATTGCCTGGCCACTCTGCAAGTGTGAACATGGCATTTATTGTTCACACGTTACTCACAGTCTGGATGTGCAATGTCACCGCAGGAGAAGGCACATTCGGTCCCCGAGATGTAGGCAGGAGACTCACCCACTGGAAGGCAGACAGCTCAAGGCTTGCTCTCTCGCCATTCTGGAATAAAACCCAACACATTTTAAGTGCAACGAGCTGGTCATGATGTCTTTGGCGTCGAGCAAGTCCTCCTTTATTGCAGCAGCTCATCTTTGGTCCCGTGGCTGGCACAAATGCTGAGCTTCAGTTGTCAGACCATCCTTTAGGAGCAAACCCAGTGCTGGAGCTCTGCTCTGTGCTCCAAGCTCCAGCAGCAAAACACTTATTTTATCCTTTCTTTGTTTTTTTTTAATTAAAACCAAGGTACCATAGCTGCACCTGCAGTGCAGTTATAGCTGCAATGATCTATATAAATCAGACCAGTTTAGCTCAGCTGAGATAACTGGGAAAAAGCTGGGAAAAATAAGCAAGTTTCCACATACATCAGAAGAAGGGCTTGTGTGCCTGAAAGCCAGTGTGGGTTTTTTTTTTCCCCAACTGCTTCAACCTTTCTACAAATATGTTGTCCCTCCGTAAGAACCTGGCCTAGCTTATAATGGTATGACTATATATAATGGTTCTGAGCATAAGTAAGTAGGAACATGCTCATCTCTGCGAGGAGATGGAAAATCCCAGTCACTTTGGGTCCTTTCAGTAATTATCAAGATTCTAGTCCCCGAGTCCAGGCTAAATCTGGCACTGGTAATTAAATCAGTTCAAATGCCACTGCTGATGTAAACCAATATGCTGCCTTCCCTATTTATATCACCTGCAAACAGGGCCTGGCTAAGGTTTCTTTAGCAATTTCAGTTTGACACAACATTTTCTTCGCGTCTGTCTCTGAACTGTTGAACACCATGGAGGAGCCACGGCGCCTTCCGCGCTCGGTTGTGTTTCGGTGCTGTCAGGAAAGCAGCCCTTGCAGGGAAAGCCTATTTCACTAATAAATCTGGGCAGGAGGACCCCTGTACTGGCTCGGATCTGATCCCAAGAATGGGAGCTTCGCATTTGTAAATGAGTTTTCATTTGCGTAACCCTTGGGGGATCGTTCAAGATCAGTTGTTCCTGAGCTGCAGCTGATATTATTTGTTATTTCTAAATTGAAGCTCCTATGTTAATTTGTTGGCAGATTCTGTTTGATGTGATAATTGTTCTGTGTTGGGTTAGATTAGTGAAGCATCTCCAGAATCTGCAGAGGGGCTCCAAAGAAAGGCAAGGCACTGGCCACCCTAGTGCAGACCTAAAAATGCAGTGATCTGGCAATCTCCTTCCAGTCAAGCGATGAATGAGTTTCTGTTATTTGTAGTTGATATCATGGAGCAATAGGAGCTTCCTTTAATGCATCAGGCTTGCTATGTGTCAGTAGTTATTCATCAGCTAATGCAACCAAATTATAGGTGTACATTGACACTGCTGTTTGTAACATCATCACACTGTTTATCAAGCATGAGGAAGTCATCGTTTCCCTGAAACCATTGCACGTTTTATAAACACTGTGTATCCTGGAAAGTGGATTTCTTTTTCAACTGGAAAATCATTTCTGATAAAAGCACATTTGTAACTATTGCTCTGTACCACTCCCAGCAGCGTGTGGCTTTCTGATTTCCCAAACTCTCCTCAGTATTGTTTCACTTTATTTTTGTTAGCTTCAATATATCTAAAAGCAACTGAAATGTCTTTTTCTACTTTCCTTAACAGAACCAGGATTGCATTTGAAGTAAAGCTGCAGAAAACCAGCCGATCGACAGATTTCCGAGTCCCTCAATCAATATGCACCATGTTTAATGTCATGGTGGATGCCAAAGCTCAGTCAACAAAGCTTTGCAGTATGGAGATGGGCCAAGAGGTAAAAATGCAGGTTCTTCCTTTCACAGCTTTTAAGGGCAGTGCCATGAAATTTCCTGTCTCCTGTTGTTTCAGAAATGTTGTATCAGTTGTGGATTTAGCATTCCATATAGAGCGTACAGATGAATGTACAGGGATTGCCCTCAAATAACTCTAATGAATATAAATATTTGGAATCCCTGTCACTTAGGAGCAGCTTTTTGCAAGGACTGTGGTATGCATAAGGTATCTCTTAAGCTTGATTGATGCATGATGACCATACATATTGAGTCATTAACTGCACCTTGGAGCCAGGTATCCGCAACACACCCCCTGTATATGACTATCTTCTGTAGACAAACATAAGGAAAACAGAAGTGCCAAGTTGTTGTTATGATGCTTGTAAAGGGGAAAAAAAAACAAACAACCAAACAAACAAAACCACAAAACAATACAGATAACTTCTAAAAGTGAATTGAAATTCCAGCTGCTGTGACTTCTTTGAGGACTGGCTATAACCAGCATGCTTGATGATCCTGGATGTCCGTGTTCTTAATGACTCAAATTTCCAAACAACAAACGTCGTTTAATTAATTGCTGATTTTTTTTTTCCTTCTAAAACCATAGTTGCACGCTGAAGTTCATTGATCTATGAATTAGAAAGACATGGTAAATTGGACTAGATTAAATGCATTGTAATGATTATTTTGCTCCAGTGACTTCAAACAAGATTAAATATTCATATACCAGTGTAGAAAAAATTCACAAGTACTGTTTGGCTCTCCTGTCCTGCTGCTTGTCCTAGATAAGCCCTTTTGCTACAACCTTCCATGGCCAGATTTTGTAGTGAATCATTGCAAGTTGTTGGGGTTTTTTTGAGTTGTTTTCGTCACCATGTTCCTCGGAGAGCACTTGCTCCAAAGGCCACTGGATGAAGCAGGGATCAGTGCCCTGATGTCAGTGGTGTTTGGATGGAATCTAGCTGTTCTTTTTATTTTTCTTACACATGTTTCAGTGATGACATTTTATTTGTGACAGTCACCTTGCAAGAGAGGGTTCATACTGCTCATCATCAGGGTTTTCACTTGTCCTCCAGGTCAGCCGAGGCAAATCCTGAGTGGGCTTTTAATGTCCAAGCTTGGACATGAACTTCTCTACCATTTTCTGTTCCATATTCATACCTATTTATCTCCCCAAATCCCTCAGCCTGCATCTGCTGCAGCATCTGTCCTGGCAGCGCCGTCAGCCAGGAAGGGCCATGGTTGCAGTGCTTCCCACTGCAAATCAGGATCAAACCCCATTATATTCACACATTTTCTGGGGATGGGGACATCTGGGAGATCAAGCAGACTCCAGTATCATGGTGGAGCAAGCTCATTGCATTCATAACGAAGTCAGGTTAATTATTCTGATGGCACAAGACTGTTAATATCAGCTGTGTCTGGATAGGGTGTGACAGGCACTCACTTCATCTTTCCATGCTAACTTGTGATGCTCTGTGCTTGCCACAGTTTCCTCCAAATTTTGAGCATCAGTCACAATTCACATTTGGCCTGAGTCAATCTGCAAGTGCGAGGGGAGCAGGCGGCTGCGTGGTGGTTTCTCTGCTGGGCTCAGCCACAGCAGGGATCAGATCTGTAAATCTGCCTGTGCCACTTCAAGAAGGTGTTTGGCACGGCAGCTCAGAGACAGCCTAACTCCTGTGGCAAGCAGCAGTTGCTGGGGCATGAGGTTTTTAACAGATAGCTGAACTAATAGACCTGTAAAGCAGATGTAAATTATCAGTGCATAAGTTAACGTTTAAGGCTGCAGAATTTTATGTATCCTCCCTTTTTCTTTTCTTCTTTTTAATGAGTGTTCCTACCTCCCCCTCCATTCGCTTGTGCCACTCCATATTTCAGCTACCTCCATCTCCTCCTCTTCTTGAAGCTGTCTAAACGTGTGCACTGAGATGATTGTACTGGGGGGTGGGGGTAAAAGTTAGGATCTAGATCTGTTGTTACAGCCCACGAGGGGAGGACAAAATGCCATCCCACCCCTTCCAGTCCCCGGAGGAAAAGATGAGACAGTCAGATAGACAGCAGAGGGATGAGAAACCTGTTTTTGAGCCTGTGTCTTCCTCTGCAGTTTGGGAAGTGGGGTCTGTGCATCGTGGAGTCCCCTGTCCCCAGTCCCTGGTGTGTGGCAGCAGCACAGCTCGAGCAGGGCCACCCGCAGCCCCGCCGGGAGGGACGGACAGGGAGCGAGGGGCACACCCGGCTCGCGGACAGGACACTCCATCCTGAAGTTCAAAAGCTCCCAGGAGGGCTCACATTGCCCGCCACGGTGTTCAGGCAGGGGAGGTTGCCCAGGCTTAACCAAAGAAGACATTTTTATTAGAAACAAACCTGATTTTTCTGATGATCCAAACTGTATGTGGGCAGAGACTCTTTTGACACGTTCTGTGGCCTTGCTCCTGCAGTTTCCTTCCCACTCCAGACGCCTTCCCTTTAAGACTACCTTTAGTTACACTCACTTTAACAGATACTTGAATGCATTTTTCAAGCTTTACCCTGTGAAACAAACACCCATCATTTCATTTCCATTTCCTTGTCTCTAAAGGCAGCTGTTAAAACATTTGGTAAACATACTTTACCATCTTAAATATTTATTTTTCCTCTGAATTTTTAATACATCTAAGGGGATAAATGTATGTATTAAATGTTTCTCAGTTGGTCTAGTATGTTTCTATTTAATATCTAAGGTCAGATGGTCCTTAGAGAAATACAACGTACACACAATCTGTTACATGACAAGGCAAGATACTCATCACATAAAGTCAAGTTGAATCATTGTAGTGCACTGATTATGGATTGTAATAATTGAGCTAATAGAAAACTGCAGTGAACTCAATCGAAAGCAGGGGCTACACTGCATAAAGCAAACCAGCTATGTGATCTTTAACCTTCAGTATTTTAATAAGAAATATAGAGGGAACAATTAGAAGCACTGGTTTACAAGCCAGGCATCTGTGAAAGCAGCACCAAGCAGTTGTTTTCCAAACCTCTGCCTTCTCTGCCCCTGTCCTGGCCAGGGCTCGTCTTCCCGAGGTGGAGCTGGGCTGCAGTGAAGGCAGTGCAGGGTGGGCATTGCTGCAGCTGCCTGGGGCAGGACCCACAGCCTCACGGGCCCTATTCTGCGTGGTCCCCAGCCCTGGCACTGGCTCTGAGTCTGCCCCAGGGCTTGTGGCTGCTACAGGAATGAGCCATCAGACTTCTGCGGTCACACCTTGGTGCGTGCACAGGGTCCTCTCCTGCTTTCACAGCTGCAGTTCTATTCTATCAGGGCTCTTTGTTTGCATTTTAAACATTTTAATGGAAAATTCATCGGTCAGTGCATCTCAGTGTATTGTTTTGCATGAAGCTAGCCATTTTTGAGTTAAAACTCATAACTTACCCAATGAAAGCAGTTGGCTGAATCCTCAGTTGTGAGGTTTTACACACAGAAAAAAATGCAGGTGCGGAAGGAAAATGTCATGGGGAAGACACCTCAATACATGCACAAGCCTTGAAAGATGCACAGCCCCTTCCTCCTCTCCCTTAGGAGGTTCTGGCTGTGTATGCCAAGGATGTCCTACCTGTCCCTGTCACCCTGCAGCCACATCTCCAGCTGTGCTGGGAACGGCCAGGTCAATCCTGGGAGCCGATACGCACTAAAACTCTGCATTAAACAGATTTGTCAGAACTAGGTGCCCATAAGGGATTCATGTATGTCTTGACCTGCAAAGCAGTACCTGGAAATGAGAACTGCAAGTGCAAATATCACTCACTTGCTTGGGTATGTTTTTCCTCTGAGTGTCCCCAGCAGGTCACAGCCCGTGGCGTGGCGGTGCCAGGTTGTCCTCCCGCCAGGGTGAGGCTCTGAGTGGCCCCAGCCAGGACTTGGGCTGGGAAGGGCTGCACCATGTGCCCCTGCCCTGCCCCTGCAGCAGGGCTTACCCCTCGGGCACACCCATCCCTGGTGAAGGGTGTGCAGCTGCCCCAGTGTTGAACCCTGCCTGTCACCAGCTAGTCACCTTCCTCTTCAGACCAAAATAAAGCCATAAGAGGCTGTCAGCAGTTAGGTACAATCCGTTCCCTCCCCCCTGTTTCACTGCCTGCAGTTACAACAGACAGCAATCTGATATTTCAGTGAGAGGAGGTTTTGATCATATTTCATTTTCCATTGCTTATTGTTTCTGTGCATGATGCTGCTGTTCTCATATGTCCCTTTTTTTTAAAGATTTTGGTTTATTTATTGTTTCTCTTCATATGTTCTTTTTCCTGTCTTTTGCACTTTCCTCTTTATTTCTGTCCCAAATCATCTGAAAAGTTTGCTAAAGAGTGGGTAAGTGTGTCCTACTTTTATTTTCTTTTTTCCAAATTCCTGTAATAATGTTATTGTCATAGAAAACAATCCCCGAACTGTAGAGCAGTTCAGAGACTACTGAGACCAACATCTAGCATTTGTAAAACCCTCGCAGTCTTCCTTCCCAAAGTCTGATTAGTATTTAAAGCAGATTTGTCTCTTTCAATGTGATTTGATGTTAACATTTTAAAACAATATTAATGCCAAGTGGTAATGAATATAGTGACTAGCACCAGTGCTTGAAATGTTTGACTGAAAAATCACATGTTTTGTGTTGGAAAGCAGTCATAATCAGTATTTTCTCAGTCCATTGAAAATAAGAATATACTGTATGTTTTCACTAATTAAATCTTGTATTGGAAACAGGTCTTTTCTAAATTAGTAGAAGACTGTATTTTAGTACCTATTCTAGCCATATTGCAGCTGACTGCATCAGAGCTCCCAAGCTAAGCAAGGTTTGGCATGTGCAGAAATTGGGTTGAAGACTCTGAAACGCTGACGCTGCAGGCACTGGCGCTGGTCAGCCGGTCCTGAGCTCGTGCCACGGGATCTGCTCACACCCAGGGCTTGGGGCTGCCCTGCCTGCTGGGTTTTGCATGGGACAAAAAGACTCCTCTTGGTTTGGTTGCTGTTTTTTAAATCTATCTTACAGTCATTCAGCAAAGCGTTTAGTTGAGTACTTAATTTGAGCCATGTGCCTG